AACCACTACTTTCTCAGTTTTCTGTCCTCACTCTATAGTATATAGCCTACCCTTTTGCCAAATTGAAATAAAAATTCAATCTTTATCAGTTTATCAATTGCCAAATCCGAAAGTAACCCAAACCCACCATTTCAATGGTCCCAGATTTCGCACACATTAAACCCACTTAAAGAACATGAGCGGCAAAAAAGTAAACAGTTTACTATCGATGGTTAGAATAAAATAATAATGGAAAGAAAAGCATTTAGCCATATTTTTCCGAAAATAAAGACAAGGAAAAGAACCAAGAAAATATTCTTTCAACCTTTTTCTGCTTCCTTCCACAAACAGCCTTTCTTCCTTTTCTCTTCCTTTTCACATGCTTTGTGTGTAATTCTATTGTGTCAATTGAAGCCCAGAGGCGAAAAGAAAAAGTGCAGAAGGAAAAATGGCAACTCTTGGGGATATTGGTGTGTCGGCACTTATCAACATATTTAGTGCCTTTGCATTCTTGCTGGCCTTCGCGCTGCTCAGAATTCAGCCAATCAATGACAGAGTTTATTTTCCCAAATGGTACATGGCTGGGAAGAGGACGAGCCCCAGGGGATGGGGTGGTGTAGTGGGCAAATTTGTCAATCTCAATATCATGACTTATTTCACTTTTCTCAACTGGATGCCTCAAGCACTCAAGATGAGTGAGCCTGATATCATTAGCCATGCTGGGCTTGATTCTGCTGTTTTCTTGAGGATTTATACTCTTGGGTACTTTGCAAAAATTCCACCTTTTGTTTTCTTGATTCTGCTGTTTTCTTGAGGATTTATACGTTCTTTTTGTTTTCTTTAGGAAAAATATATATACTGGATGGTTCTAATCGATGGTTATTGTTATCCCTATAAACCGTGAAGTTTTTAATCCTTTATTCAGTTGTATTTTCCTACTTAATTTGAAGATTTCACATGTTCTTTTGGTTGTCTGGTACTTTGACTTTTGATCAGGTTGAGTGTTTCTGTTTTCCTTGGCGATTATGCTGCTTGCTTTCTTCTTTTTCTTATCCCCTTATTACTGGATAAGCTGTCAATTCATCTCGGAAAGTATTTATCAGCCAAGTCCCGAGTCTTATTCTGACGTTTTCTTGCATTTCGTCATTCAAGAACAACATTTATCAACGTATTTAGTTTTTGTTTTGTTGGTTTTACAACTTAAATGATTTGTTGCAATTTTGGATAATATATATATCGTTGAAATTGCTGAAATTTGTTATTTCACTGTTTGGATCACTTACACTTGCTCTTGCCTCCATTAATTTTGCCAGCCTGAAAATATTTGGACCAATAACGATTGCGGCTCTTCTGTTTCTGATTCCCGTGAATGTATCTGATGGAACTTTATTTTTTCTGCGCCATGACTTGGTTGTGAGTGACATCGACAAGCTTTCGATATCAAATGTTCGTCCCAAGTCTTATAAGTAAGTGTCATCGTGGTCCTTTCACCAATGGAGATAAAAGTCTAGCCTTAACATCAACGGACCCTTGTAGTCATCATGCACATTACATGAAAGTAGCTAAAATTCAAAATTTTAACATCGTTTTTATTCGATTGCATCATAACAGATGATTAACCATTTTTCATATTATGAATTTTTTTATGTCGTATTTTGAATGTCACGCCTCAAAAAACAACTGTCGTGATTTGATGTCAGGTTCTTTGTCCACATATCAATGGAGTACTTGTTTACTTTCTGGGCTTGTTTCCTTCTTTACAAGGAGTACGGTAGAGTTGCATCAATGCGGCTAAATTTTTTATCTTCGCAGGGAAAGCGAGCCGAACAATTCACAGTAAGTTTTAACTGTCATTATATTTGCAATGTGAAGCATGTTGAAGCAAAAGTTTTGTTGTGTGGTTTTATTTGGTTTATGGTACCTATGTTATCAACCTGGTTTGTTAAATTTTATATTGGTATAAACACTGATAAAAGATTAGTTGCAATTTATGATCTGATTTAACATTTTTGCCTCTTATATTCTTNGTGGGATATACTTTGTGGATATGGTTTGTTGCTCTTTGCTTCATTTGACCCTCAGTTTTATCAATTAAATATTTAATTCCTTTTGAATTATAACCAGGTTCTTGTTCGGAATGTGCCACATGTTTCTGGACGCTCAATCTCTGATAGTGTTGAGACCTTCTTTCAGAGAAATCATCCTGATCATTATTTATGTCACCAGGTATGTTTCTATTATACTCTTCAATGATACTGCTCTTATCATTTTTTTTTTTCCCTTTTTCTTTTACTGTTCTCAGTTTTCTTCTCATGACCTCTAACTCATCCTTTCTTGTTTGCACTGCGCTCAAAACCTGCCCAGGCTGTGTACAATGCAAACAAGTTTGCGAAACTGGTTAATAAAAGAAACCGACTCCAGAATTGGCTGGACTACAACCAGCTTAAATTTGAGAGACATCCAGACAAGAGGCCCACAAGAAAGGTACATTCTTTTATGGGTTAAAAGTTAAAACAAAATAACTTCGGAACAAGATTTCCAAGAAAATTAGACGTACACCTGTTACTTTTTGCTGCAGATTATAACATTTCTGTAAAAACTTTACCTTTTTTTTTCTCTTTGTTTTTTATTATTGGACATTCAGAGTGGCTTCCTTGGATTTTGGGGCAAAAAGGTGGATTCAATTGACTTCTACAGGGAGCAACTAAAGAATCTTGATAAAAAGGTTTGTTCTATGAACCTCAAATTTTGTGAAAGTTAAAGTTCACCGGCTTGAAGATGATTTTACATAAAGAACCAGTTTGAAGTTTCAACTAGTTACAGAAAACATCTAGTTATCATTCAAAATTACAGAAAAATAGTGCATGTCTTTCTGACATAATCATATTTTTGTCCTCTTGCTTTTAGATGACCATAGAACGCCAAAAAATCTTAAAGGACCCTAAATCCGTAATGTCGGCTGCCTTTGTGTCTTTCAACTCGAGATGGGGAGCTGCTGTTTGTGCACAGACACAACAGAGCAAAAATCCCACGCTTTGGCTAACGAATTGGGCTCCCGAGCCACGTGATGTTTACTGGAAGAATCTTTCGATACCTTTTGTCTCGCTTACCATTCGGAAGCTCGTGATATCATTATCGGTGTTTGCATTGGTGTTCTTTTACATGATACCTATTGCTTTTGTCCAATCACTGGCTAATCTTGAAGGGCTGGAGAAGGTTGCCCCTTTCCTCAGGCCTTTAATTGAATGGTAAAGTGTAAAAAAATGAAAGAGCGGATCATATCATTTGTGTCGTTATTTTGCATCATTTTTTTGGGAAAATTACGGACTCTTCTTTGAGGTTTGGTCTAATTACTTAAAGGAGGAACATGACTTTGAAATCACACAAATCGTCGTTGAGGTTTTTATCTGCCTCATGTTTTTATCTACCATTAGTTATTGATAACTACTCGTCTAAATAGCACCCCTCAACTTACCCCGACATTTGGAATACTTCCATATATTGATCTTGCATTTTACATTTGCCTCACCTCAAATCTTCAAAAAATATCAGTTGGCAGAAGAAAAGGAGGAGCTATTTGTGATCCTACAAATATTAGATGTGAAAATTGAGATTTTTTTTTCTTTTTTTTGACAAGAAAATTCGGCCCTGTCAACTAAAGGTTGGAACGATGAAATAAAAACCTCAACGGTAGATTATTTCAAAAAATTAGGTGTTTTATTTTTCTTTGTTTTGTCCCTCCACCCAAAAGTAACCCCAACCTCCCTTTTGTTTTGCATGATTCCTTATAATCAGTCTGATTATCACTACTATGCATTATTTCTTACATTTAGTGCTCAATCTTGTACTGTTTGCAGGAAATTTGTGAAGTCATTCCTTCAGGGTTTTCTTCCTGGTCTTGCTCTTAAAATCTTTCTGCACTTTCTTCCTGCAATTTTGATGATTATGTCGAAAATAGAAGGACATGTGGCGCTATCGGTATTGGAAAGACGGACGGCTGCAAAATATTACTACTTTATGCTCGTTAATGTGTTTTTGGGTAGTATAGTGGCTGGTACTGCATTCCAGCAGCTTCATGCTTTTCTTCATCAGTCCGCCACTCAGTACGTTCACTCAACTTTTCTGGCTTTTGTTTATTATTTTAGTAGCCGATAACAGATATCTATTTGTGTAAGTTAGATGCCATGTGGAGCATTTTATGGCTTGCATAACTTCTTAACCAAACCGTTACCATATTATACAGAAGTGAGCATATTTAGTTTCAATATTTTATAGATAAAAATCTGTATGCAGGTGCAGTTACTGTTTTAGCCATGAGACATGAGATGTTTCTCAAGTAAAAGCAACATTTGACCTGATTTTCATAATTTACAAGCATGATATTAAACAATACTTGCGCAAAAATGGAGACTGGGTCCTGAGTTTGTTCGTAAAGACCTGTGTGATGCACTCCTTGTTCTTTCAATCTCAACATTTTTATTTTTATTTTTTAATTTAAATCCCAATTTAGGGATAATCTAAAAATATTCACAAGATTGCCCTTTAATATAGTGATCGGCAAATTGACTCTATTGCATAAGCTGCGAAATCAACTTATTTTACATGCAATCTCTTATACGTAACATACAAATACCCACATGCTGCATATTGTTCCTTTTACTCAGAGCAATTTCATTCCCAAATACTTATAACTTTATTTTTGTACCAGAATCCCAAGAAACATTGGTGTATCAATACCAATGAAGGCTACTTTTTTCATCACATACATAATGGTCGATGGCTGGGCCGGGATTGCAGGTGAAATCCTACGGTTGAAACCTTTAGTCATATTCCACCTTAAAAACATGTTCATTGTAAAAACTGAGAGGGACTTGGAGAAGGCAATGAACCCTGGTGGTGTTAGTTTCCCCGAGACTTTGCCGAGCCTTCAATTGTATTTCCTTTTGGGCATTGTGTACATGGTTGTCACACCAATCCTTCTTCCTTTTATTCTCGTCTTCTTTGCCTTAGCGTACTTTGTGTACCGTCATCAGGTTAGTTCTATTCAGCCGAGTTCAATGATATTGCTTGATCTTAATTTATGATGACTATTACTATACCCGTGTACTACATGGGTTCTTGTTAAGAAATTTATATTTAAAACTAAAATTAAAAAAAAGTTTTAATTTTAAATATATTTTTTGTAAAAACTATATGTTATTTATATTTGAATTGACGCCCGTCACTTACAAAGCTTAACATCTTGTATTATAATAAATTTTTAACTTATAGCAGTTAAATTAATTTAAATATATTTTAATTAATATTAATATATATTTTAATTTTTATTCTAAAGATAAATATAATTATTTATTTATTTTTATGTACAATACAGATGTCAAATCAAATATCATCAAGACATGATTAATTTGAGATATTATATATGAAACAATTGATAATAAATAAAAAAGTTTAGCTTTTAAATATATATATTTATAATTTATGTTAGTAAATTTTTTATAATCATAAAAGAAAGATGAAGAAAAAATAAAGATTGGAAAAATTATTATTCCTTATAAACCACGTCAAGGATAGGAATAATATTTTAAAAATATTCATAAATATCCAGCATATATATGGATATTCCAAGTCTAGTTATTTTTGGATTGGAAATAAATTAAAATCCATTCAAGCCAAATGACAAACCATTAAAATTTGCCACATAGAATTCCGAAGCGTGCTGCCACTTAGGCTCAAGACATTCATGAATATATATAGGGGAATAAGATAATTTCAGATAATCCGATCATCTTAGTGTAAATACAAATTCTCCTCGACTTTGTGCTCGTCTTACAAATACCCCCATGCAATAATAGGTGCGATTTTAAGTGCATGACATTTCTATCTGTTCACTTTTTTATATTTTTGTAGGTAATCAATGTATATGATCAACAATATGAGAGTGCTGCAGTATTTTGGCCGCATGTTCACGGTCGCATTATAGCGAGCTTGCTAATCTCTCAACTCCTTTTAATGGGCTTATTGAGCACAAAAGAGGCTGCAAATTCCACTCCTTTGCTTGTGGTGCTACCGATATTGACTTTGGCTTTCCACAAATACTGCAAGAGTCGGTTCGAACCTGCATTTAGAAAGTACCCTCTTGAGGTAATGCAACTTTGTCTGAAGAGTGAAGAGTAACAGTAATTGCTTGCTTGTTTACAAATTAATGTACTCACATTTATTTCATACTCAAAATCTAACTCAACTTCAACTAAATCCCACTATCCTTAATATTATTCATATAATTAAATAATACAAACTAATTATTCTTATATATAACATCAACTTTAATTCACTATTCATCCACTCACATAATTTTAATTATCTATCATATCCAATCATTTATTCCTACTTTTACATCAAATCAATTTAAATTATTTTATATTAAATATTATTTTAATACATTCTTATAATCCCACTAATAATTAACCATACCACATTTTCTAAAATTAACTATGGTTAATAAAAAAACTCATTTTGAACAAATTATTTGATAAACAAGCGCGCCCTTACTCATCCGTTTTCTCCTGATATGAGACCAATTCCTCTTTGTATGCTACTGTTGAAATCTCTGTTCTTATGTCTGCCAAAATTTAAAATTTCGAAACCGTACCCATATCTGTCAATTAACAAATCATCAGTTCCCTCGACGGTTTTAGTTAAATTACAAAGTAACTCAGTGACCGGACTTATTCGTGATAAAGGCTAAATGTTAGGAGTAGTTTGTAATTATCCATATTCCTCTATTCTTAATTTCTTACCATTTTTTCGAAACATAAAATCCAGGAGGCTATGTCGAAGGACACGCAAGACCGTGCTTCAGAATCCGAAGTCGACTTGAAATCCTACTTGGCCGACGCGTATTTGCATCCCATTTTCCACTCGTTTGAGGAGGTTGACTTGATTGAAGTCAAAGTCGAGAAAAATGAGGACCATGTGGCGAGTTCTTCTCCTAGCAAGCCCAGTTCTCCATCCCCTCAGCATACGTATAATGATGAAAACGAGCCTGCTCAAACTGTCCAGCACTATGAAGTGGAACCACCGCAGGCTATGTATCGTTATGAATTTGAATCATCTGAGAATGTGTATAGGTATGATACTGAGTCTCAGTATCAATATTATCACTATTGAAATTTGATTCTTATGTGATTAGTTGTTATATATTTTCTTTTGAACTTTTAGTTTGAACACTAACCAAATACCCCTTGTCTACTAGATAGATTGACATNAATGTAAAGAGTTGTGAAATTTGGAAACTGTCTTTTTGGCTGCCTTATTGTGCTGTGGAGTTTGTTTTTGGAGGTGTTGTATCCATATTGTAACAAATTGATGTAACAAAATTCAAAGAAACACTTTGGTGTATGCCAACTCAGTAAACTGACAATACACTGCAACTTTTATAAATATGTTTCCAACTTTTTTAAAACCTTTTTGTAGGTTATAATAGTTAGAAAAATTGAGGGATGTAAATGTACATGTAGAAAAAAAACCTCTGTGGTACTTGATAAAGAGCTCGAAAACATCAGGAACTACTGTTAGTCCACTAGTGTCAGAACATCTCCAATGCTCTAATGTTGTTACAGATTAAATTATGACAAATGTCAATAAATTAAATAGATTGTGAACTATGTAGGAATAATGTTAAGTTCACAACTACGAAATTTAAAAATCATCTCCAATACACAATGTAGTCTGATTATAATATTTTCTACTTATCAATTATTAAAATTTTAATAAAAATTTAGAAAATTAATTAAATAATTAAGTAGCTTGAAAATGGTAAGAATACTTCTCTCTTCTCTTTTCATTGGCTAGCTAGGGTGTGGAGGAGAATGTGGATGGACCACATTCTTCTATACATTGTAGACATTAAGCATGTCCACATTCCCACAACATTTGTGATCACATTGTATATTGGAAGATGAAAAATTTTCGTATTACTAGTATATTGATGTGGCATGTGATTTACTACAACAATATTTGAGCATTGAAGATGCTATATAAAGTGGATGTAATGTCAGTGTGGTTTGTGTATTCTTGAAGTTTATTGTTTTTCCTTTCATTTTTCTTCTTTTTTTTTATGTTTTATATATTTTTAAACAAACCTTAAAGGGAGTTTTTGTAATTATCCATAATAAAAAAAAATCTACTTTGAGTGAAAATTTTTGTATACAAACATGCTCTTATGACATAAAAAAATTAACACGATAATTAATTATAATCTTAGCAATATTAATTTTGAAAAAACACGTTTCTTAATGTTATATACAAATCGAATTAATAAAAAGAGAAAAAAAAAAGTTGAAACAAAAGAAAAAAAATCTCCAACGCATTCACTCGTAAAACTGCTGTTTAGAAAGAGTGTTTAGTAAAAACAATGTCAAGGAAACTACAGATTTTCAGGTCGGAAACAACTTCCGAATTTTCACTATGCAAAACACCACAAAAACCACACCAGTTTGAACTTTGAAACCATGCACGCATGCGTCATATCACAGAAAAATCAACGCCAAACCCAAAAATCTCCAGACGACGAGTTGAATTGGTACCAATTTTTGACTTTTCGACGGCCTTCATCTATTATAAATCCAATCCAGACTATGTCAAGAAAAAGGAAAAAGAAAAACTGAAAATCATGAAACCTTCAACTGTAATGCTTGTTTTCTTATTAATTCCCCTCCATTTTTTGGCCGCTCAAGTTTCTTCAATCGACACCCTGTGGCGAGGAGACAGTCTGAACTCATTTTCTCAGCTGATCTCTGCCAGAAGGATTTTCACATTAGGGTTTCACACTCCTCAAGACTCCAACAACACCTACCTCGCCGTGTGGTACACCGACGGCGCGTTCCCTAACCCTCCCGTGTGGATCGCCAACAGGGAAAACCCTTTTCCCCCAAATTCAAATCTGAGTCTCACAATAGACGCCATCGGAAGCCTGGTCATCACCAGCCGACGCCCAGGAGTAGAATCATTCGAGCTATATTCCGGCGGACCAAGGAACAATCTATCAGCCACCCTGTTGGACACTGGGAATTTCGTAGTCAGGGAGACGAATTCCAGCGGAGAGATTTTATGGCAGAGCTTCGATTATCCTACTGATACTCTCCTCCCGGGTATGAAACTAGGGTTTAATCAACGGACAGGGAGGAATTGGACTCTTTCTTCATGGTTTGACGAGAGTAATCCAGCTCATGGGGCCTTTACCCTTGAATGGGACTCAAATGGAGGCCGACTGGTAATCAGACGAAGAGGAGTGATTTACTGGACGAGCGGGCGGATGAGGGATTATTACGAGAATACAGGAAATTTCAGTATCAAGGAGTTTGAGAATATGAATCCGCCTGATGTTTTCAACTATAACTATAATTTCAGCAGTATTACTGATGGCGAGGGTGAATATTTTAGGTATACACTCATATATATCCCTTTCACTCCCGATGAACGAAAAATTATCTCAGGATGGAGGATGGATTATAATGGGGATATAAGCGACATTGGCCGGGGTTATTTGGTGATGTCCAGTCTCTGCTATGGTTATGAATCCAAGAGGTCTGTTCTTCAGACAGGGTGCCAAGTGTGGGAACAGCCCACTTGCAGGAACAAACGCCAGACGTTTACCCGTAGGACTGGACTTTTTTCGGGATTCAATAGTCCTCAATCTGTTCATGACAGTAATGCGAGCCTTGGCCCAAGTGACTGTCGAGAGAATTGCTGGGACGATTGTGAATGCGTTGCTTACTCTCACGTTTTTACGTCTGATGGCTGCACATATTGGAGAGGTAGGAATGTGGAGTTTGTGCAGAGTCCTGATGGAATTATCAATGCTAATTTAATGTACGTTCTTGAAACTGCACCTTCAGACAAAGGTTGGTTCGCGCATTATATATGATATCATTTGTGTGTGAGTGTGTGTGTGTGTGTGTGTGTGTGTGTGGAGGGCGTTGGCTTAAAATGAAAATATAACGACGAACGGGATCTTTTATATTGTCAATGAACAGGAATGAAGACATATGTGAAAATCATCCTTGGTGTGTTAAGTGCAATGGTGGTGTTTATCTCAGGTTTGGCTTTTTTCCTCATGCGAAAGCTTAAGCAGGGTATAACAATCAACTCTTCTCTGTCTTCTATTTTTTTGGGGGGATAAAGTAGATTTGAATACCTATGTCTAATTTATTTGAATGGTCATGTGATAGTGAGGAGAGAGAAAGAATTGCATGAGCTGCTGACGCTGGAAGGATATACAGATGCCAATGAAGGAGGCAAGAGTCATGATCTCAGGCTTTTTACGTATGCATCCATCCAATCTGCCACCCGCAATTTCTCATCGGACCATAAACTTGGGCAAGGTGGTTTCGGACCTGTATATAAGGTAAAAATTCTCAAATATATATCGCCTCTTGATGATCTCATTGTGCTTTATTCAGTATTTTTTCTGTTTCGTCCATGTATGTTTGGTAAAATTTTTAAATTAATATTTCTGCTTTAGATTTTTTTAAGTATGTCGATGCCATGCTTTAGAATATTTTCTAAGCATAGGGGGAAACCTCATCTTAGTTATAATTTGTACCCGCCACGACAACTGATTCAATTTTTCTCCTCTGGGATAATATAAGACGGCACTAAAGTGTTTCGCTGAAACTGACACTACACTGCAACTTTTATAAATACGTTTCCAACTTCTTTTAAACCTTTTTGTAGGTTATATTATTTAAAAAAAATTGAGGGATGTAAATGTACATGTAGAAAGAAAACTCTGGTACTTGATAAATAGTTGGAAAACATCAGGAACTACTGTTAGTCCACTAGTGTCAGTTGCAAAATATAAAATGGATGTAATATGAGGGTGGTTTCTGCAATTCTTGAAGTTTATTGTTTTTCCTTTCATTTTTCTTCTTTTTTACTATGTTTTTATTTTTTTAAACAAACATTAAAGGGAGTTTTTGTAATTATTCATCATAAATTATCTATCCTGCACTGTTCTGTTTACTTCAAGTACTACACATTACCAAGTTCTTGAGTCATAGTTGACATTGCTTCTTTTGTCATCGTTTCAGTGTTGAAAAAGAAATAATAATAAAAAAAACTCGTGTTTTGTGTTGTAGTAGTAGAATATTATGACTACATATATTCAATTCTTGGAAAGATACCCAGATACAATATTTAAAACAAGTGTCAATATTGTGAATGACGGAATTTTGCCGTGTCTTTCTGAATTTGGTTACATTAGAGTTCCATAAGTATTGAAAACTAGAACCATAATCTTAAGTTCCTGGTTTATAAATGTTGTTTTTGTTCAATTTTTCAGGGAAAAACATCAGAAGGCAAAGATATAGCGGTGAAGCTTCTTTCACGACAGTCAGGACAAGGGTTGCTTGAGTTTAAGACTGAGCTGATTCTCATTTCAAAATTGCAGCATGTGAACCTTGTTAAGCTAATTGGCTTTAGCATTCATGGGAATGATAAAATAATAATCTATGAGTACATGCACAACAAAAGTCTGGATTTCTTTCTATTCAGTAAGTATCATCTGCTTCCTTAAACTTTTGTTAATAGGTTCATCTACAAAAATTATCCCTGAATGTAGCCTAGTTATTAAAGAAATATTCAGTACTACAAACAAACATTTACATTTATTTCTCTTCTACAATTTCACTAGCAAGAAAAGGCATTTGTTAGGTATATGCAAATCTCAAAGAGCTATTCATATATGTTGCCATTTTATAATATAGAAGATAATGGGAGTTTTCAGTACTAGGCTAAAGTGTAGAGGTTGTTTCTTTACTTTGTTAATAATATCATACCGAAACAAAGAACACGGGTGGGTCTTCTAGCTTCGATATGAAAGTTATATATGTTGAATGAAAAGGGAAGGGATTAAGTACTTGTTCCAGATAGTTCTAATCGTGTATAATATTTTAAAACTCAAGCAGTCGTACTTATGTGAAATTTCCGTATAAAGGTCCATCTCAGAAGCAGCACTTAGATTGGCAGAGAAGATTCAATATAATCGAGGGTATTGCTGAAGGACTGCTCTACCTTCACAAGTACTCTCGACTGAAAATAATTCACCGAGACCTGAAACCAAGTAATATACTACTCGATGAAAAGATGAATCCCAAGATTTCTGATTTTGGTCTTGCGAGAATAATTAAGCAGGACATATGTGAAGCTAACACAAACAGGCATGCGGGGACATAGTAAGTAACTGCTTCCACATGTCTGAATGTTAATTTGTTTTCCTAGATTTATATTGCTGAAAGAGTTAAATTTATTTTTGCAGTGGCTACATGGCCCCTGAGTATGCGATGCAGGGCATATTCTCTTTTAAATCGGATGTCTACAGTTTTGGAGTTTTAGCTCTTGAGATTGTGAGTGGTCGGAAAAACAATTTCTTCCAGCAAACTGAAGGTCCTCTAAGCCTGGTGGAACATGTAAGACTTTATAGTTTATCAGACAAAACATCCTTACTGTTTCCCCATATTATATTACAAAATGACTCTCATCTGTAAAACCTTGTTTCTATTTTGCACGTTTGCATTCTACAAGTTTGACTTTTTGTAATTACGCCAGACCTGTATTTTTTTATTTTTTTTTTTATTTTTATCTGGAACTCTAAAGCATGAAACTTGTTACTGCAGGCTTGGGAGCTTTGGAGAAAAGATTGTGCGCTAGATTTCATGGATCCAACATTGGGCAACTCATGCATTATAGGTCAAGTGCAAAGATGCATCCACGTTGGGCTTCTATGCGTCGAGAATCTTGCGGTTGACCGACCCACTATTGAAGATGTTACGTTGATGTTAAAAAATGAAATGACAAACTTGCCAATGCCAAAGAGCCCAGGATATATCACGAAAAACAACGTCAATGAAGACGTAGAAACAAGTTTGCTTGAGAAATTATCTGCAAATGAACTCACGCTCACTGAAATTGGGGGAAGATAGTACCATAAAGTGCCCCTCATGAGTTTGCCTCACTATGTCATTTACCCAAAACTTAATCTCAGAAAAAATATTCCCGCGCTCCCTCCTTTTTTCCCTCTGCCGCCTGTGTCTTCTCTTGTGGGTTGATGCAGGCTAGAGATTAGCTGTTCAGATTTAGAACGCAAGTTTTCAAATTTGAGTGTTTGCGCTGCAAACCGTGTTTAGGATAGGAGGCTTTTAAGTGTGTTGGGTTGGGTTTCTGAGCTCTGTGACGTTGTATGTTTGCCTGCTGTTGTCGATCTTTGGGCTTGTTGTGGCGGCGGAGGCGGTGGCAACGAGGATGCTTGAAAAAGTGCGAAGCTTTATTTAGTTTTACTAGTTTATTTTGTCCTCTTTTGTGTTTCTTAGATTTTGTTGTTTGTTTTATGTTAGTCTCATATTTTTTAGTAGTTTTATGAGAACGAGTATTCGATGTACATTAGCACAAATAGAAATAAAATATTATAAGTTATTTATATGTATATAAAAATTAAAATTATAAATTAGATAATGGTATTATATTTAAAATTTTATCATTGGTTGAAATAGATAGGTACATAACGATGTGATTGCATATGAATCACTATATTGATTGCATAAAACGTAATATTTGTTATTTTGAGAGATCATGACCAATTAATTTGTTAAAAATATTAGATTTATTATAATAATTGTTTATGCGATTTTAAGGGATTTATTATGACATTAAAACAAAATTAGTTTATTTAAAATACATTTGCTTAATCAGATAAAAAAAAAAATATAATATTGATTTTAGAATAACTTAGTTGAACAAAAAATTTTACAATATAAATAACTTATTATAAATTAGAATTGATTATCTTGTAGAATTTTTATTATTATGTTATAAATTAGAAATTATTATGTTATAAATTAGAATTTATTATCTTGTCTAACAAGCTAGACCATATATTTATTTACTTACCAAACTAACAATATAAACTAAGGAAATAATAATAATAAAAAAAAAAGAAGTAAATAATATAAATATGAAGCCGATCACATTTATCTAAAAACGCAATCGCGGTCTTGTCTCCATCATCATACCCCGATTGAAAGTGATTATGCCGCGAATCCGAACCAGTCTCGTCTCCGTCGGAATCGTCGCCATCCAAATGGGTCAAATGCGCCACATGAAAAATATCTGACGAACGCACATGAGAGGGCAAGCGAAAATGGTAGGTATCTTGAGTCGATGATCTTGTAGGGGACGATCCTACGATCCGGCGTGGGAACAATCCACACAAAATCGTCCACGTCAAATACCACCGATCGACTGTCCAACGATCCGAACAACTCCCCACACGGCTCAGCGCGAGAAAGGAATAAGGCCGTTGGCGATGGTGACAAAGGAACCGAATGGGGGGCCGACGGATGTAAGACAAAGCGGATGCCCTCAAATAAAAACCCATACGTGTTAAGGCACCCATCGTGCAGCACAACTCTATCAAACTGCCAAGGACGTCCTAATAAGAGGTGCCAAGCATCCATAGACACTACGTCACACCACACCGTATCCGTATATGTGGATCTGATAGAAAAGGAAACCAACACGAGACGGTGAACAGGGACATCATTTTCATGCTGTATCCACGCAAGAGCATAAGGATCCGAACGCGGCTCACTCAATATCCCAAGTTTCTCCACGGTCTTATCTGAGATCATGTTATAACACAATAATTTCTAAGTTCTAACATAATAATAATAAATTCTACAAGATAATAAATTCTAATTTATAATATAATAATTTTTAAGTTCTAACATAATAATAGTAATAAACTACAAGATAATCAATTCTAATTTATAGCATAATAATAATAAGTTCCATAAGATAATCAATTCTAATTTATAACATAATAATTTCTAAGTTCTAACATAATTTAAATAAAAATTTGATAAAAAAAAAAAACATGGCCGGCCGGTATTGTGCGGCGGTCGAACGACTAGGCCCGCCGACCGCCAGACTGGCCGGCCGAATCGGTCGACCACCGCCGAGCGTGACCGCAATTGTCGGTTGGCCCATCGCGGTGCGGCCGATATTGATGGCCGGACGTGTTTTTTTTTTAAACAAAAAGAATGTCAGGGATAAAACGGTCCAAAGAATCTGATAAGTAATAAAAAAGGGGAGGTGTTTAGTAACACCCTAATTTTTTCTTGAATTCTTACAACACAAATAATAATTAGTGTACTATTATACTCATATAATTTATTTAGTTCATCACTTATCTGTTATATATTTTTATTTATCTTATCTAAATTTCAACATGTCACATGTGATAACTAATATTTTCTTTCTTTTAAAGAAACATTTTAATATATATAATGTATATTTTTTTTATATCGGGCCAGAAAAATACAATATAAAATAGAATTCTTCCCACAATATAATATACGATAATTGTGTTTTATAGTTTTTAATAATATTCTATGTAAAATTATAATTTATTTTCTAATATGAACTATCCCAAATTTCTTTTTGCCAATATAAATTAATAGTCAAAGTTTTCAATAAACATGTATTTGTTATTTTAAATACTTAACTAAGAAAAAGATTGTTATATTCCACCATTTATTAAAAACAATAGAAAATTCTGAAGTTAAGAATAATAAATTTGAAAAAAAAATATAAAAAGGAAAAAGTATGAAAAAAATGGGAATTTGATTATTATAAAAGAATGTCAATTAAGTAGTTGGAGAGTGATAGAATACGAAAAATTGGGTTTCAATTAGCGGTTTTGCTATGGAGCCATCGGATGGCTCGGCTTATGGAGCCATCCATAGTTATCCACAAATAGTGTATTGACACGTGTCCTGCAATAAATGCACATTGGACACGTGTCAATACCTAACGTTATGGATGGCTCCATAAGGGAACCATCCGATAGCTCCATAGCATTTCTGCTCAACTAGATTAGGTTAAAAAAAATTGAATAGTTTAGGTCTCTGTAATAAAACCGGCCTAGGCGGCCACTTAGATGCTAGGCGTCGCTCGCAACTTCTGATTCGCATGAATCGGCTGAAAAAATCAGTCAGACGACGCCTAAAAGGATTCGTCGGCAATTTTTCAATTTTTTTTTGTTAGATTTTAAATATTAATTATATTATTTTGTTATCATGTTTTCTTTATAATATATTAATACTATTATTTGGAAGGTGTTTGGATTTATTATAAGTTGGATAGTTTATGTTGTAGGTAGTGAAAATAAATAAAAAAAATAAGATATTTAATCTTAATTTTTTGACCCCACCTAAATGCTCCAGGCTCTAGGATTTAGGCACTGATCGAATGTCTAACGGGTGCCTAACAAGTTCTAGAACACTAATAAGACTAATCATACAATATAATTGAGGTAACAAATAAGCAAAATAACTATTATTAAAGGTTTGTTTGTATACGAAATATCTCAATCCATATTTAATTCATATTCAAAATCTAACTCAACTTTAACTGAATCTTACTATCTTCAATATTATCAATATAATTAAATAATATCAACAAATCATTCTTATACATTACATCAACTTTAATTTACTATTAATCAACTCACATAATTTTGACCATCACTCCATATCATCTCTCTCATACTTTCATATCAAATTAACTTTAATTATATTATTTTAATATGAAATTAAAATTTCATTGATAGCTAATCATAACATTTGTTTCAGAATTAACTTTAGTTAACTAAAAAAATTTAGTTTGAGTGGATATATCCTCCTATATATTAATTCAAAACGTGTTGAGCCTAATTGGCAGGCTCGCACGCTTTGGAATTATATGTATCAAATTATTATGCTTCGTATTTAGGTTCGGATAAGAGAATTGAAAACATAATCAACATGGAATAAACCATAAATAATTATTTCATCTTACTTTATTGCATCCTATAAATATCTCTTTCATTATCATAAACTAGTACAGAGCTCGCGCGATGCACGGGGTGTACAATTTTAAGGCTATTTATCCAGACTTATAATTATATACATGAATAAAGAAAAATATACGGGATATATATAGTACGTGACCCGTGCGAAGCACGAGATATATTTATTTAGAGAATATTATATTATAAGATCCAATATTCAATACAAGTTTATAATACGCAAGAAAATTGTACAATGTTCAATAAAAATTTTATAATATTCAAGTGGAGTCTTAAAGTCTCTTGTACATTAAGACTACTGACAAAATAATATTTTAATCAATGAGTTTCTTTTTTCATTGTAGTTTTTTTTTTCTTTTTTTTTTTTATAATGAATTTAAAGATATTCTAAAAGATAGCAAAAATTAATTTTTTTTATTACAATTAGGAATTTTATTAAATATAAACTCTCAATCTATGGTGTTAATCAACGTTTAAGTCTAAAAAATTAGAAACTTTTACCTCTTTTAATCAACGTTTAAGTCTAAAAAATAATAGAGTTATTATAAGTTTTTTTTCTACATCTTTTAAAACATTAAATATGATCATGTTAGGGCTAGCTTGTAAAATAATTAATATATTATCTCACTAAAACATTTATACTAATAAAAATTTAATTTTAGCATATAAATTTATCCCTTGATATAAGAGAAAGTAACAGTTTTACTTATTGTTGTTCACCATATAATATTTAATTATTATGTTATTATATAATAAAAAAGAAATATTATTAAATAGTGTAGTAGAATTGTTATAAAATTATATGATTTTTTTTACAATATGGATTTAATATTTTTTATGATTTGATAATATAAAAAAAATCTATACTTAACTTTGACAAATAAAATAAATAAGTACTTTAGTAAGTATTTAATGTATATAATAAATAGGAATATATTTGGTATAATCAAATACAAAATATAATCAAATAAGTCAAAGTGTACATTTTTATTTGGTATTTTATTTTTTTATTATTAAAATCTTTTTATTATACTTACCTTTTTAAAATAAAACAAATAAATAAATCAATTAAATAAATAAAATATTATAATACCAAAATAGTAATGGCATTTAATGCAGTTGACTTTTCTGGATAGTAAATGTAGTAAATAGAATCTCATTTTTATATAAGCATAGATTGTATAATACGAAAATAGTAATACAATAAATGTTGTTGACTTTCCTTTATACTAAATCTGGTAAATGGTATACCTTTTAATATAAGTATAGATTTTATTGCCTCCCATAAATTTGTGTATTGACTCTATCGTATTATTATGGGAATATATCCTAAGATAATTCCGTAAATTTACTATTCATACATGTATTACTTTTCCATATTTTATATCATTCAAAATATATTTTATATCATTCTTTAATAGCATAAATTTAATTAATAGAATAGAGTATATATCTCTATTGAATAAAGTAGTTTTAAATGAGTTTTTAAATTACCTATTAATATTAATTCAAAAAAATATAATTATTTAAACTAACTGAACTACAAAATAGTTATTTGATATAAAT